CATCGATGCCAACGTTACGTAACCTCTTCCAGCACCAAATAACACGTGTTCCCGTAACCATAGCCCACCAGCACACAATGCCACCCGTGTTCAGTATCCGTAAGTCTGGTCCCGAGCCAATTGAGTTGTCAGATGGGTATTCATTATGGAACGCCAAAGAGGCAAAAACTTGGAGGCAACACATCGATCGTTCTCCAACATCGATCGATCGTTCCTCTACATCGATCGATCGTTCCCTACATCGATCGATCGATCTCTTTTGATTGATGAAGAAAGAGCGATGAAAAAAGACCGATGAAGAAAGACCGATGAAGAAAGACCGATGAAGCTACATCGATGCCAACGTTACGTAACCTCTTCCAGCACCAAATAACACGTGTTCCCTGAAACCACAGCCTACCAGCACTCAAGGCCACCTGTGTTCAGTACCCGTAAGTCTGGTCCCGAGCCAATTGAGTTGTTAGATGGGTGTTCATTATGGAACGCCAAAGAGGCAAAAACTTGGAGGCAACACATCGATCGTTCTCCAACATCGATCGATCGTTCCTCTACATCGATCGATCGTTCCCTACATCGATCGATCGATCTCTTTTGATTCCCCAGTTCATTATGGGTCGCTCCCTAGCCACTGTGGGCAAACATATTTACTCCAGGTGGATACGAATTTTATTTTCCACACTGATAACAGCCTGGCGAAACCAGTGGAACTATTCTGTCATTCATTGACCTACTTATCTAGCGATACACTTCCATAGCACTGACGAACACACTGTTCCCTTCTGAATTTAAAATATCTTGATCTAATTTGTCTACTTGTTTCAATACGACCCTTCCCTATGTTCATTTACCTGAGACCCCAAGCTAACACCGATGACGTCGAAAATAACAAATAAAATAAGCACATTGTTATGCGTAAACAAAGAGAGCGTTTAATCTCGGCTGTCTCATTGATCCTAAAAGACAATCAAGCAGTTCATTTGAACACTTTCTTGATGAAAGATGTGCACATTCTTTGTTTTTCGCTCCTGTTACCGAAGCAGATTTAGCACTGATTTTTTCCAAACCTACCTTATTAGTTTGAATGATGAAACCCAGAGCATGTAATCATGCCAATCTACTTCCATTCTTTAAAGGTCTGGTATCAAGCTCTAGCACATCTGTCTTTACCTGTTGTCTATCCTGCCAGTGTATACTGTGTTCATGTCTCATGTCTCCTGTCTTATGTTTCTTGTCCAGTCTGAACCATTGTTCGTGTAAATAGGGAAAGCCAGAGGCATATGCTTCTTTTTTTCCCTACATGTTGGTAATAATGTAGACTCTGTACAATAATATTATCAAACTTAATACACCAGTTCCCATTATTTGTTTAACAAATTTCACCATGCATAATTATGCTATAATTATAGTTTCTTTCCTTTGGCACTGAGCTTCATGTGGGTTGACTTTTGAGTCGCATTCTTACAGAATAGTTCCGCTGGAATGCTATTAGTGTGGAAAATAAAATTTGAGTCATAAGGAGTAAGAATAGGTGCCCACAGTGGCTAGGGAGCGACCCATAATGAACTAGCATCCCATCCAGGGGAAAATAAAAAATATTCATAGTGGTTTCATGACAGGGAAACTAGATATAAGCACCCATCTGACAACTCAATTGGCTCGGGACCAGACTTACGGGTACTGAACACGGGTGGCCTTGTGTGCTGGTGGGCTATGGTTACATGGAACACGTGATATTTGGTGCTGGAAGAGGTTACATAACGTTGGCATCGATGTAGCTTCATCGCTCTTTCTTCATCGATCTTTTTTCATCGCTCTTTCTTCATCGATCCAAAGAGTTTGATCGATCGATGTAGGGAACGATTAATCGATGTAGAAGACCGATCGATTGATGCAGAAGAACGATCAATCGATGTAGGGGAATGATCGATCGATGTAGGGGAACGATCGATCGATGTAGGGGAACGATCGATCGATGTAGAAGAACGATCAATTGATGCAGAAGAACTATCGATCGATGTAGGGGAACGATCGATCGATGTAGGGGAACGATCGATCGATGTTGAAGAACAATCGATGTGTTGCCTCCAAGTTTTTGCCTCTTTGGCGTTCCATAGTTATCAGTGTGGAAAATAAAATTCGTATCCACCTGGAGTAAATATGTTTGCCCACAGTGGCTAGGGAGCGACCCATAATGAACTGGGGAAAATAGTAAATATTCTCAGTGGTTTCATGACAAGGAAACTAGATATAAACACCCATCTGACAACTCAATTGGCTCGGGACCAGACTTACGGGTACTGAACACGGGTGGCCTTGTGTGCTGGTGGGCTATGGTTACAGGGAACACGTATTATTTGGTGCTGGAAGAGGTTACGTAACGTTGGCATCGATGTAGCTTCATCGGTCTCTCTTCATCGGTATTTCTTCGTCGGTCTTTCTTC